AAAACAAAGTAAAAAAACACACCTAAAAATCCTTCTCTTGAGACTCACTTTCATTTGTCTCATGACTTAGTCATATCCTGAAGTCTCCCAAATTTGTATCTGAAGCTCACTTTTCTGAACTCCAGACTCCTATACTCACTCTATTCAACTGCCACTGAACATCTCAACTTGTAGTGTTAGTAGACATGTTGAACTTAACATCACACAGGGTTGGGTGGCATGGGAGAAAATCACCAGGATATACACCAAAATGTGAATAACAGTCTTGATGAGGAGCTTGTGTGTTATGTTATACTACAATATAGAACTTCTATAATGAGTATTAACATTTAAAAAACTTTTTTATTTTGAAATAATTATTGATTCAGAGGAAGTGGTAAAGATATTACACAGAGGTCCCATGTATCCTTTACCCAGTTTCCTCTAGTGGTTACATCTTACCTAACTACTATAATATCAAACTAGGAAATTGACATTAGCATAGTGTGTGTGTGTGTGTGTGTGTGTGTGTAGTTTTATGTCATTTTATTTCATGTGTGGATTCATGTAACCACCACTGCAGTAAAGATACAGAACTATTTCATCATCACAAAAATCTCACTTGTGGTGCTTCTTTATAGCCACACCCATATCCCTAGACCCACCATCATAACCCTTTGGCAGCCACTACTAAGTTCTCCATGTCATATAAATGGAATCATACAGTACATGACCATCTGATTTTTTTTTTATTCAGCATAATGCCTTTGGCATCCATCCAGGTTGTTGTGTGTATCAATAGCTCATTCCTCTTTATTGCTGACTAATATTCCATGGTATATAAGTACCACTGTTTGTTTAGCCCTTCTCTTATTGAAGGATATTTGGGGTATTTCCAGTTTGGGGCTAATACAAATAAAACTGCTGTTAACATTCGTGTATAAAGTTTGTGTGGACATATATTTTTGTTTCTCTGGGATAAGTGCCCAGGAGTGTGATTGCTGGGTTGTAAATATGTTAAATGTATACTTCATATCTTAAGAATCTGCCACACTATTTTCTAGGATCGCTGTACCATTTTACATTCCCAACAGTAATGTGTGAGAGATTCAGTTTCTCTGTATCTTTGTCAGTGTTTGGTATTGTCATTATTATTATTTTTTTCTTTGTGAGCTATTCCTATAAATGTTTAGTGATATCTCTCCACTGAAAATCTCTGGAGTTCTTCTTCTGCAGTCTTGTCCCCCTCTCCTGTTCTTCACTGTGAACTCTAGTTGAGTTGGCTTCCTTGGACTCCCAATCTATCTTCCCAAATTAGGGAGACTGATAGACTCTGCCTGGGTTCCCCTTCTCTTGCCACATGGCCTAGAAACTCCAGGAAGTAAGCCCATTTTGTTTGTTTTCCATCTCTTGGTGATCACTGTTTTTCATTGCCCGTTTTCCAATGTCTTGAAAAGCTATTGTTTCATATAATTTGTTCATTTTTATAGGAGTTTCAGGCAAATTCCAGTTGCTGTTATTCCATTTTGACTGCAAGTGGAAGTCCATATTTTAGATTAATTTACAATGAGAAATAGTGCTTATGCTTAGATTCTAAGTCTTAAAAGGTTTCATTGTCAACTTTCTAATAAGAGTGTCTATCTCTCTGTGTATCTATATACCTATTGTCTATCTATCCATCATCATAAATTTTGCTTAACTAGAAGTCAGGAGTTCTACTATCATAATTGCCATTACTTATCTATAGCATCTGAGACATTAACCTCTTTGAGTCACTTTCTTCATTTGTAAAACGAAGCATCAGTCTATGAGCCTTAATTCCTCCTCTGAGGCTCTAGAACATTGTTTGACATATCCTCGAAGCAGTGAGCGTTGTTGGTAGCTGCAGTCCTCAGTATGTGTTATTTCTAAACAGGAAAATGGCTTTGATAGAATAATGAACATATGTTGGTAATTGCTATGTAACAGCAATAACAATAACAATAGTTAATACACATATCCTTTTACATGCAGTATCTTAGATAACATTTGCAACATCCTTATGAGATATTATTCAAATTTGGAAGATGAGAAAACTCTAACCATAAGAGGAAAAAACAAAAATAAAAATCTGTCCAGTCTAAAGGTTATATACTTAGACTACACTCGTAGGTCCTTTCTTCATATTTAATCAAGGGTTACTTTCAAACAATCCCTAATAGGAACAAAACCACGGCAATTATAAAGAGGCAGGTGATGCGTGTAGTTGGATATGTTATCCCTGCTGACTCTAGGCAGCCAGTGGGTTCAGCAGAGGACTCTTTATTCCTTCGTCCTGTTGCAAACAGACCTCACTAGAATAAATGGACAAAACGGTCACCAAAGAGAAATAACACAAGCAAATTGTGAGGGTGAAATGCAATAAATGCCTTACATGAAGTAAGTGCTCAATATTGATAGTTGTTATTATTATTATTGTTGCAAATTGTCGGTATCAGCACTGCAGAAAACCAGCTTGGTAAACTTTGCAGATCACAGAAGAGGCTTCCCAGACCGCCATGTGAAACTCCAGCTTGAATGACAACGTAAAACATCCTCCTAAAAGGGGCTTGTTTATGTCTAGAGAGGGTTTATATAGTGCTTTAATAATATCCAGAGTACTTTTAAAAATATTATTTCATGATGTCACTTTTAGTTAAAGAAGTGACTAGAATCAGCATTCTAACCTTCCCTGTTTTACTCACCCAGGCTGTAGGGACTGACAGTGATGTGATGGTGTCACTTTAGATATTCTCTTATCTAGGGCTAAATTATCAGAGTTGAAAAATCTAGATATTCTTATGGGAATGTGATTATTGGCTGAGGGTTGGAAAGGGGGAGTGGAGAGTGGAAAGCTGAGATAGGCTTCATAGGGAAGAAATGTAAAAATTCATGATTGACTCATATACTCCAAATGTTCTAAAATGTGAAAAGCAAAATAGTCGTTTTGGCGAGATGACCCAAATAAAGGCCAAAGGTCTTGACATTTCAGAAATAACAGGAAAGGGTTAAAGGAAGTACATATAGAGACTATAAGGAAATGACCTGGTTTGAAATTCATGGGCAAGATCAGGATGCTATGAATCTCAGGAGAGTGGGAGTAACTCAGGAGTGGAACAACTTACTGACAAAATCAAACTGTGGTTTCCCAGGCTCAAGACATTTCCTGTTTTGGATGTCTGGGTTTGCCTCAATGCCCACATAGCCTTACTTCAAAGTGCTTGTGGGAGCAGAAAGGAGAATTAACTGAGTGTTTTTATCCAGCGCTGGGTGGGGGAAGCGGGAAGGGAGTGGGCTTAGGACTAAGCCTGGATTTAAGAGCACATGGACCACAAGGTGATAATCATTTTTCTGAAGACCAACATCCAGGGACCTTCTCAGAGGGAAGACAAGTCTGGGAGGGAAAAACTTGTCATACAAGAGGAAACAATTTTGGAAGCTATTTACGTGTGTAGGTAAGTCACAGTGGTGGTGGGTGCCACATGGAACAGCATGGACTGTACTTTCTCTTTTAAAACATTTTTTAAAAAATTGAAATATTTTCAACCTTAAAGAAAAGTTACAATAATAATACAAGGAACTCCTGAATACCATTTATCCAGATGCATTGTTTAAGGAACCTTTTCCCACTTTTAAAAAATCATTTTCTTTCTCTCTAAACACACATTTTCACATATACATATAATCTATATTTTGAACCACATACGGTTTGAGAATAGTTTGCACACACCATACCCCTTTGCCTTTAATATTTCTGGGTTCATTTCCTAAGCACAAAAATATTCTCTTAAATAATCATAGGACAATTTTCAAATTCAGTATATCAAATATTGATGTAGTATTCCTCGCTACTCAACAGACTATAGTAATTTTTTTCTGGTAAGGAAGGCCTCTTTTTTATTTTTTATTTTTTATTTTTTATAATATATCTTTATTGATTTCAGAGAGAGGAAGGGAGAGAGAGACAGAGAGATAGAAACACCAATGATGAGTCAGTAATGAGAGAATCATCAATCGGCTGCCTCCTACACTACTCCCAATGGGGATCGAGCCTGCAACTCGGACATGTGCCCTGACCAGGAATTGAACCGTGATCTCCTGGATCCTAGGTCAATGCTCAACCGCTGAGCCACACTGGCCAGACGAGAAGGCCTCTTTGATAGGGGGTTGAGACTGACCTTGTAGAAAAAAATATGTGCACCCCTCCTCTCAGCTCTCATTGGTATCTGTATTAGTAGAGGAACGCCAGCAAGTCAGTTTGGTTTCCTTTGGTTTCATTCTTATTCCATTCTCCACTAAGAGCACAAAACTAATCAGTAGGAAATGCCCAAGTGCTAAGAGAGCCTCAGTAGTGGAAGGGAGCTGGTGCGACAAGGTGTACTTTTAGCAGGGTCCTAAGACGTGAAATTGAGCATCTCCCCCCCCCTCACTTCCTACCTCCCTGCCGCTCCTCAGCTTAGGAACAAGAATGGACTATGTACAGTACTTCTTCTATTTTCTTTCATCTTTTCGGGGGGAAGAGTGGGTAGCAAGGAGAGTAATAAAGACCTAAAGGAGCAAAAATAAATTTGGGATAAAAAAGAGAGAGATGGTCTCCTATGGCAATTCTAGTCCTTCCCTGAGAGTAAGGTTATCTACAAGAATGTCTCTCAAGGAAAGTGTGACACTGTACCGGCTTCTCTTCTCAACCAGTCTCTTGGGTTCCTTGGAACTAATTTCTGTTTGAGAGTCAGTTGATGTCAACTTTCCTCCACAAATGAACCGATTTTAGAACTGCTTCCCCTGGTGTTTCCTGTCCTGCAGGATCCACAGGTTATTACACAACAACAGGGAATGTGGTGGGGAGGGACCGGTGGTGCCTGGAGGGGAGAGGGTAGGGTGGGGAAAGGGAGAGGAGACCCCAAAGGCTATGCTGTCAGGGTTTAAGGAGTCTAGGGTCTCTACTGGAACCAAGTTTCACCTCAAAGTCAGTCCTTTCTTTTCCCTCCTCCTTTCCAGGCAAAATGAAGCTGACTCTGGTGCAAATCTTTTTCATGATGTTACTGCTGTTGCTGGGCTTGGGGATGGGCCTGGGTTTGGGGCTTCGGATGGCTGCTGCAGTCCTGGAGGAGAGTGACCAATCACTGAATGAATTTTGGTCCAGTGACTCAAGGGACAAGGCCAAGGCCACAAAGGAGAGAGAGGGCACCCAAACATCAGAAACCCTGCTGCTTAGCAACAAAGGCGTGGTACAACCTGGCTGGCCTGAAGAGCCCATTGTCAATGAAGATGAAGTTGGAGGAAACAAGGTGCTCAGGGCTGCTGCTCTCTCTCGGAGCAGCAGAGACTCTCCCGAGCTTGATCTGATGGCCCGGGAGTGCAATACCATGATGGCACACAAGATGAAGGAGCACAACCGCGCGTGCATCACCGAGTACACATTCATCCACGAGGAGGTAGAGACAGTCAAGGCTGTCTGCAAGGAACCCTCCGTGACCTGTGAGATCCCGAGAGGCAAGTGCCACAAAAGCTCCCGTCCTTTTGATTTGACATTTTGCAAGTTATCCAAACCAGGCCAAGTCACTCCTCACTGCAATTACGTCACTTTCATTTTTGAAAAGTTCATTATTCTATCCTGTAATGACATGAAGGTCCAGGTGGTGTCTGGATAACAAAGCAACGTGTCATCTTTTCGCCCACCTTCTCCTCTCCCTCTTTCTCATGCTATTTCCCTCCTCGTAGGTCTTCTGCCAAGAAGGTTCTGGGAAGAGAGGCTGGCTTATTTTTTATCATCCCCCCATGAAAAGACAACTTTTTTTGCCCAAGGGCTCACCTACCTTGCATCTCCTCCCTGGGGTTAGAAGTGGCAGAGCAGGCTGACGATGCCTAGATTTGCTGGGCTCTTCCTCTCTCAGGGCCCATCTCCTGCCCTGGAAAGAGATTAGTGAAGGCGGCTCTAGGCTTTCCTGTGGTCCTGGTCATTCGTCTGTTCCCTGGTCTGTTGGCTTTTGGGTGTGGACTATAAGAGTTGGATGCTTCCTTTACCCATGTCCTTTCCCCCATGAAAAGACAACTCTTTTTTGCCCAAGGGCTCACCCACCCTGAGCCTCTAGGGCAATAAAACCCCCGGAGGTTTCCACATCCTCTGACAGGTTCCCACCAGCTTCTCTCCTAAAGGATTCCCACACTGTCCTCCTGTTTCCCCCTACCAGCCTCCACTTTGGACAAGTCTCAGTGGTCAGGCTTTTATGTGACTGTGGAGATGATCTCAGGAAAGCAACTTACCAAACACTCTGAGGGTACCTAGTGGCTCAAGCAGAAAAACACTGCTTCCATGGCTGATGTAACATGTGACAAGAGGCTGATCACCTCACTCACCAGGGACAGAAAATTAACTCATTATAGTCTAAATGCCGCCTCATTCACAAAATCTTTACCAACTCCTTCAGCTCTGATGTAGCTCCCTCTTTGCCTTTCCAGTGTATATGCTTTAAGTCATATAATAGGTCCTCAATCCCTTATCCTAAATTTCCAAAGCTCTGAAAACCAAAAGGTTTTCTTCCAAAGGCTTCAAAACTCATTTAGATGCAAAATCAGACTGAATTGACTATGCAAGGCTATTTATTATCTTTATTTATACTATAAGACCATTCTACATTTTACTGAGGAAATAGCAATATGTTTGATTATGAACACTTCAGATAGACTCTTCTAGGGGTGTTTTAGTACAATCACTCTCACTTACATATTACTGGTTTTTAAAATCTTAAAAATTCTAAATTTCAAAATGCATTGGTCCCAAAAGTTTCATGTAAGGGATCATGGACCTATATATACTATTTAATTAGTCCTTAGTTAATTTGCATATACAATGTATGACCCTAGTATAGGGCATAAGTGCTTTTTTTTTTTATGGAAGCAACTATAAGTTTCTTCTATATTCTTCAGTACATTTATTGATCAATGATTACCTGGTTATTGATTATCCAGTGCTTCTCCAGAAATTATAAAAATTGTATAAAACAGAATAATTTAAGAGGAATAAGTTTCCTGACTCCTGTCAATTACTGCAGTCTAATAAAAAGAGATGAGTAGCCTAATGCCTGTTTTAGAGGGCTCAATATGGATTCTTTTCTTTTTAAGACAAGCAGGAAGAAAACTATCATTGTATGCTGGGCACTCTTCTAGATGCTGTCACATACCTGGTTTTACGTAATCCTTGTAGGGGGTGATGTTATATTAGCTCCATTTCACAGATGGTAAGTAACAGGCTCAGAGAGGCCAAGTTTACCTTTCCCAAAGTCACCCAATTCATAACCGGCTGACCTGTAATTTAAATGGGTGGTTCCTGCCTTCCTTTCCACTTCCCAGTTTGAGGCACCATTCAGTCTGCTCACCTGCATCCCAAAGGGAGAGGTTCGGCTATAAGTAGAGTCTGGGATCTGGATTCTGGATTCTTTGCCTTTGTGTCAATCAGAAAGCATTTATTGTGCAAAGCACGTATGTCCTGAGTAATACAGGAAAATGAGCGAGAGCCTGGGTGGGTGCAGGAGAGAATCTCTAGGCTGAGCCCTCCTCTCGGGCATGAGCATAGGACCATAGTATGACTTTAAAGGCCAAGCATTCTAGATGGTTATGGATACTCCCCAATGTGATATAAAAAACAAACAATTAAACCATTGTAAGAAAGTTCAACAGAGTTTGGATTTTTCTCAGGATGACTACTTTAATCCTTTTAAAAATACGAAATATATATATATATATACATATATGTATATATATGTATATATATATATATATATATCCAAAATCAGTGTCCTTCTTGCTCTCACTCTCATTCTTGCCTTCTTTTTGGCTGCTGCATTGTTAACTTTGGGTGATGTAGCACTGAACATAATGTGACTGGGAGGGAGGGATCAAAGCCAGAAAATGAGTCCCTTACTATTTGCAAGACACTCAAATATTGTCTTCAGAACACTCTATACAAGTTTTCCTCAACCTTGGCTGCTTATTAGAACCACTTTATGGAGCTTTAAAAAACACCGTAAGTATAACCCCATAAGTATGATTAATCTGGGTTGGGACTTGGGCATCAGGTGAAGCCCAAGGATCTTGGGGCTTCTGCTACTATTCTTCCAGTGGCAGTTTTTCTGTAAATTGGTGTTTCAAAGACTATTAACAGAGATGCTAAAATGATTTGGGAGATGCTGGGTCAAACAGAGTTAAGTAGGTTTTTTTATGCGGATCTCACAGCCTTTAATATTAACATGTCTTGTGAACCTCTAAGAAACGGAGAACATATTCTGCATTTCAGAATTCATTTCACCTGGAACTCCTCCTCATTAGTCATTTAATAAACAGTTTCTAGAACTAGTGTTTGTAGGAAAAATTATTCTACACTTTTCTAAGCTTTGTTCATCTAGTACAGTTATTATAGGGCCCACTTTAAAGGTTGATATGTAGATGAGAGTATAAAATAATCTATACTCAGATTACCAACTAATCTTATGTGATATTTTCTTGGGAATCAGATACCCCAGGGAGAAAATTGAACCTCTGACACTTAAAAGCAATTGTGACCATGGACAATAACTATTGGTTCTTAGAACCTCATGTTCTTTCTTTGTAAAGTGAGATAACAATAGTACCTACTTTGTAGGGTTGTTATGAGTATTATATGAGATTAAACGACCCATAGTAGGGCTCAATGAATGGCAGCTGCTTTTGGTGGTGGTATTGCTGAGCTCACCGCCCACAGAGCGCAATAATCTTTTTGATAGCATACTTTTGGAAGTACTACGATACACAGTGCAATACCATTAGCATGGGGCTCAGTTTTAGGCACACTGGCCAGTATGTGGATATGTGGGGTTTTGTAGAACTCCTCAAATTACATTCTTTGGATGACCCCCACATTTTATTACTTGAGGACAGCGCAGTCTTTAGACCTCAGTGAATAGGGCCCCTGCCCTGAGCCTATCCCCTTAGGGGTCCTCTACACTTAGAACTGTCTTTCACACAGAAAATCACCCTCTGGTGTCTGGGACCTACAAGGACAAGCAGTGACATCTGGACGAGGTATCCTGAGCTTGGACTGACACTGTAGGCCTGTGTCTCATTTCTTTCAACCAGCTGCCTCCAAAGAGTTCTGAGACTTGTGCCTATGGGGTCATCCTAGGGCCCTGAAGCCAGGCCCTGGTTGCAGGAGGGTGGTCTGGTAAGCAGATGGCTCCTCCTGGCTGGTGTGGGATTTCTTTTGTGGGATCACATAACAGCACGTCACCAGAATGGTGCTGACATATTGATTTTGGGTGACTCCAACACATCCTGTACATAGGATAATTTAGGACTCTGGGTCACCAGTGGTCACTGCTGGTCTTTGGACTTAAGCATGTGTGTGGGAGACTTTCACCCATCTATGTTCCTACCGCTACTCCTGGTCTATAGCACTTAACAGTGGCAGGGGTAGCATTACATGTTCTTTTTCCTGTGAACCCCCAACTGCTGGTACCAGGGTAGTTACTACATCCCTTTGCAGGCTCCATACCACATGGAAGTATGGGGGTCTGCTCTTGTCTCCTCTAAGGACTTGTGAGACCACTGTTCTGCAGTGCCAATCGGGCACTTCCTATCAGTGTCCTCTCTTGGATCTCATTGATGGGTGATGGTATACTCTCTGGGGTTGGTCTTAATCTGTGCAAGATGAAGGATAGTCATTACTTGCATAAACAGGACTGCTCTTCCCTGCCCTTGTCTTCCCTTCTGGCTGGTGGCAATGCGTAGAAAGCAGGAATGCGGTATGGTTAGTTATGAAAGAGGTCACATCCTAGGAATGCAGTGATTATGGCCTAAAGACTTCAAGAGAAAATATGATTGAAAGATGTGTTGTTTTATGTTTACACTATAAAATTCCAAATGGCAAATTCCCCATGAACAAGAAAATGAATTATTCTCATTTTCCTGCATACTCCAGGTGCTATGATCTGAATGTGTGTCCTCCCTCCCCTCCAAATTCACACGTTAGAATCCTAATGCCCAATGTGATAGTATTAGAAAGTGGGGCCTTTGAGAGGAGATTAGGTCACAGAGTCCTCATGAACACGATTAGTGCCTTAATAAAAGAGATTCCCCAGAGCTCACTAGTCCCTTCTGCCTTCTGAGAACACTATGAGAAGTCTGCAACTCAAAAGAGGGCCCTACCAGACCATGCTGACACCCTGATCTTGGACTTCTAGCTTCCAAAATTATGAGATATAAATTTCTGTTGTTTATAAGATGCCTGGTCTGTGGTATTTTGTTCTAGCAGCCCAAACAGACTACGGTGCTAGGCAAGACTTGCATTTGTGGCCATTATCAACCATGCACAGTAACAGAGTAAACTTTTTTTTTTTTAATTCAAAGTAACCTTTGAGTCATTGTAAGCTGGTATTCACAGGCAGACTGGATGATTCAGTGTCATGAGTCATGAAATATCCAGCTTTTAATAAATGGCATTAGGAAACTGTAGGGGCAAGAAGATCTATTTCAAATCAGACAGGTTTTGAAGAGCCATGACAATGTGCTACCTTTTTCTTGTGGTGAAGCATCCAAAATTATCCAAGAATGATACATTTGATAATAAAAAACATAAAGAAATGGTTCCTAGATTTAACAGGAAGAGATAGTGCCTGGA